TTGAGGTGCTGTATTCAGCTCAGTCTCTTAAATAGCACCTTCTCAGAGTGGACCAACCAGTTTTGCTGCTGACAACCAAAACCAGCAGCAAAACTGGTTGATCCACTCTGAGAAAGTGCTATTTAAGAGACTGAGCACCTCAGACTGAGGAAGTCTCTCGGATGAGAGACGAAACGTTTCTACATTTTTTGTTGTTTTGCTTTGTTGTTTTTTTTGTTTGTTTTTTTAATGTCCAGAGGACCCGATTTAACTTTTTTAGATTTTTCTACCTGGATTATTGAGCATGCATCAGGATATTTTAAAATGATTTAACTGAATCAATGAATAAGAACCACTTACGTCTTATGTGGAAACATTGTTAAAAACGTATCTGGTTTTTCTTCATGATGTGGATCTTATCAGTTTTTACAACATTTATACAAAATAAACTTTATTAGATGTTTTAACAAAGGTTGGCACGCTTGATAATTTTTATCAAATAAAAAATGTACAGTTTGGAGACGAAAATCTTTTACACACATTACTGAAGCATTTGCTGCTAGACAAATTGTGATTATTATTAACATATGCTGGATTCAAATGTTATATCTACACTCTGAGTGTAGAGAAGCTTCTGACCTTTTTAACATGTGAAAAACAATTATACTGACAAAAAAAATATGTTGATTTCATTGGGGAAGCTTTTGGTGTACAGGTGTGTGTGAAAGCCATAAGGCATATCAAACTAAACTACTAAGCCATCTAAATTCACCGTATGAAAGAAATAAACTGAGAAGTATTTATACTATACAGCAGTGATCCTCACTATTTTTTTCAAAAGAGCCATATTGACAGATCAAAGTCAAGGGGAGAGTAGCAACATCTCCCCAAGTTACTCAAATAAAAGAATAAAATGAAACAACCCACCTATGAACAAAAAGAAACAAAGCCAGCACATTATCTGTTTAAACAAAATGTACTTTAGTACTGAAATGAGCGGAAGCTGTGGTGCATGTCCTTGACTTTCTTCATGTTGTATTTGTAATTTGTAGTTGCAACCACAGTGAGACGGTTTCTCTGTTTTTGCTTGATAGTGTTCATGGTTGAAAATGTTGACTGTGTAAAAAAATCCAGCTTTTAGCTATTACACCAGTCCCATGAAGAAAACACAAGTCGACAATAACAATGAATACCGAAATCCATGCTCAACAATGAATATGCTGTAATATGTGTACGGATGAAGACGCCCCCTTCACATTTCCTCCTGCCCCCTCATGTAACCGTGTCTAGAACCGGCCCTGTAAGATGCTCCTACTTCCTTCACCGCAGATGACAGCAGGTGCGGAGACTCACGCAGCAGGTAGATGATCCAGCTGAGATTAACAGGACATTTTTTACGTCTTTTGACCGGCAGGTCAGCAGATGTGCGCAGTCGGTGATGATCAGCTGATCCATCTGAAGCTTAACAAGACTTTTTTTTTTTTTACCTCTACCAGCCGGTTGGACCTGCCTCCTCCTCAACAGGTAGATTAACACATTATTATTCGTAAAAACGCATCAAAGAAGCCCGAGCCGACATGCGCAATTATTGTGCAATGCGCCAGCACGTTTTCAAAATGTATTGGCTGTGCTGGTGTATTGTTGTAACCTGTCATGAAACCCACAAATAAAGCATGGCAAGCCGCATGTGTCTCAGGAGCCGCGCAATGATTATCCCTGCTATACATTATAATACAGGTGCATCTCAAAAAAATTAGAGCATCATGAAAAAGTTCAAAGTTTTTGTCCGTCACTTCAGAAAGTGAAACTTATATATTATATATCCTGATGCATGCTCAATAATCCAGGTAGAAAAATCTAAAAAAGTTAAATCTGGTCCTCTGGACATTCAAAAAAACAAAACAAAGCAAAACAACAAAAAAATGTAGAAACGTTTCGTCTCTCATCCGAGAGACTTCCTCAGTCTGAGGTGCTGTATTCAGCTCAGTCTCTTAAATAGCACCTTCTCAGAGTGGATCAACCAGTTTGCTGCTGACAACCAAAACCAGCTGATCACATGCTCAAGAAGGACCATCAGCCTAGCAATGGATCATTAGCACACTGATGGCTGTTTACTATTCACAGAGGGCTGAGTGATACTAGCAATCACAGCATTGTAAGAGGGGGACAGTTGGACCCGGAGGCCTCCACCCCTGTTTAATGATGGACGATTTCTTTTCACAAAGATGGTCTCCTTTACTCCTCTCTCAAACCATCGTTCCTCTCTGTCCAGGATGTGAACATCTTCATCCTTGAAAGAGTGACAGCTGGCCTGGAGATGAGTGTAGACCGCAGAGTCCTGGCCTGATGATGTTGATCTTCTGTGCTGGGCCATCCTTTTGGCCAGTGGCTGTTTTGTTTCCCCGATGTAAGACTGATCACAGCCCTCCTGACACTGAACAGCATACACAATATTACTCTGTTTGTGCCGGGGGACTGGATCTTTGGGATGAACCAGTCTTTGCCGTAATGTATTTTGGGGTTTAAAAGCCACTGGGACGTTATGTTTAGAAAATAAACGTCTCAGTTTCTCTGATACTCCCTCAACATATGGAATGACCACTGGTCTGGGTCTGGGTTCCTCCTTTTCACCTGTTGGCTGACTGGAGTCCTGTTTGGGTTTCTTCTCTGCTTTCAGGAAGGCCCAGTTAGGATATCCACATTGCTCTAGAGCCTGTCTTGTGTGGGATTTCTTCTTCTGCCTGGCTCCTGAGCTAGTGGGGACGCTGTCTGCTCTGTGATACAGAGTCCTGATGACTCCTAACTTGTGCTCCAAAGGGTGATGGGAGTCAAACTGCAAATACTGGTCTGTGTGGGTGGGTTTGCGGTACACCTCAGTTGGCAAATGTCCTCTATCAGAGACTGAGACCTCACAGTCCAAGAAAGCCAACTTGCCATTTTTTACATCTTCTCATGTGAACTTGATGTATTTATCCACAGAGTTGATGTGGTCAGTAAAATGTTGGACTTCCTGAGATTTGATTTTAACCCAGGTGTCGTCAACATACCTGAACCAATGACTTGGTGGTGTCCCTGAAAAGGACGTCAAGGCTCTCTTTTATGTATGTATGTATGTATGTATGTATATATGTATGTATGTATGTATGTATGTATGTATGTATGTATGTATGTATGTGTGTGTGTGTGTGTGTGTGTGTGTGTGTGTGTGTGTGCGTGTGTGTGTGTGTCCTTGTTTATGCTACTTTGTGAGGCCCATTTTTCCAACTTACACTACATTGTGGGGACCAACTGCTCCTTATGGGGCCCAACGCCCGGGCCCCATAAGAAG